ATTGAGGGCCCATTGCATTCCTTATCAGGAAAAATTTACTGCATATGAAATAATTTATGGGCGGCCACTGCCTATGGTTTCCAGATTACACCTAGATCTGCTAGGAGACATTCCAGTCTCAGGGTCACAACAATTCATGGATAAGATCTTTCTTCAGGTTCAGGCTGCTCAGCCTGTTGGATATAGATTGGCTGATCATTCATTCCAACCTGGCGATGCTGTGCTGATACAATGTTTGAAAACTAATACCATCGAACCCAGGTGAAAAGGCCCTTCCATTGTGATTCTCCACATTCCCACTGCCATCAAAGTTGCTGGTATTCCTGCTTGGATTCATTATTCTTAGCTTAAGAAGGCACCTTCAGAACCCACTGGAGGAGAATCTAGCTGCCAAAGGTGGAAAGTGACTGAGCATGGACCTTTTAATTTTAAAATTTCTAAAGGTTAATATTTTGTCATTAACTTCTTATTGCTTTTCCTTGTTATTGTAAACATTATGCTAATAACCTTACCCTGTTGGAATATATATGTATTCTTGGGTATTAGCTATGCTAGTCTCAACCAACCTTGCACCCCTTTGTAGCGCAGGTAAAACCTGCCATTGTAAGATCCCCACTAATATTAAATTGTACTTACTCCTGTCAGGATCCAATAATTGGCCCTATAAGATGGTGTAAAGAAAATCAAGAAATTTTCAGTCTGATATTCAGGGAGGGACCATGGAAAAATCTTACAGACCAGTCTAAAGGGGATCATATAAATTTTGGAATCTAAATATTCAGCTCACCCTCAAGATTCAGGACAATATTCTTTTATTAAGTTTAAAAAGAGGGCCATAGTGGATACTGACTATTCAAGTGCTACTTTAAATGTGGATATTTCCATGAGCCTCCTAAATTCTACAAACAATCAAACCTTTTGGTTACAATTGGTTGTTGATACTATGAACAAAAGTTCCTTCTGCATACAAGAAGGAAGTTCCATCCATCAATTGTTAGCTAATTATCTTATGGGCCACTCTATAAAATATGATGACTATATTAAGGTCACTGGTGATAGGGCTACACAGCAAAACTGACCTGTGTCCCATGCAGAGTCAGACTTGCCAGCTTCACTGATGTCCAAAAACATCGTTTATGCATAGAGTGTATCCTTCCCCAAACCCCACCTAATTGTTCTATTGAACAAAATATCTCCCTACCCAATGGCAAACAACTTCCTACAGGATGGGCTTTTCTCTGTAATAAAATGAGTTTCCAGGTTTTGCCTACCAATTTCTGTGGGATCTGCTCTATTGGATAGATCTTTCCCTTACTGCCATCCCTGTCATCTCCCCACCAAGACATCCGAAGTCTGCCCCCCAATTGCAATAACAATTTAATCCATTTGGACCCCTTTGACTTTGCAATTGCAGCAGCTTTCTTTTTGCCAATTTTGGATCTAGTGGTAGGAATACAGAGAAATCATGAAGTTAGTCTGTAGTTTTAGCAAAACAGCTAACCTTATGGCACAATTCTTAGTAGAAATTAATCAAGAGATGAAAGGACTCTGAATTTCAGTACTACAAAATAGAGCAGCTATTACTTTCTTTTTCTGAGATATCATTTGGGCCGTCAACAATTCCCAGGCATGTGTAGTTTTAATATTACCAATTATTCTATTGTTATCCAACAACAGGGGGATGAAATAAAAAAAGGAGATCAACAAAATTCAAATGGACAACTCTTGGCCAGGCTTGGGAAACTGGTTTCCATGGTTAACTTCCCTTGTAGGTCCTATAATTTGCATCGTCTCCTATTAGTTCTTGTCCCATGAATCATTAACTATGTGCTCAGGTTTGGAGGACTACAACTTAATTCTATTATGTATAATTGACAGTATTAACATATATGATTGACATTACTGATTGCTCCCTATCAAAGATTTGAAAGGGATATGTAAGACAAGTGGGGAATGATAAACCCAGACTAATTCCATTTTAAAATCAGGAGCCAACTTTTCACAAGTTATAAAATATTCATTTGTGTTTTCTGTAAAATATTAGGATTTCTATTTAGCCTGGCCATATTTTGATGTTTTAAACTTGCTTGGAATGCTTGCCCATTCCTTGAACTCACCCATGCCTAGCTTTCACTGACAAGATAGCAACCCTCTCTGAAACTTTAGTTATGCCTCATAATCTCTGGCTTTCCCTGGCCAGAGATGGACCCTCTCTGAAACTCTAGTGGCACCTCATAAATCCTCATACTGGGATCTAAACTTACTCTCTAAATGCTGAAACATTTAGACTATTAACCTACTACCTGCCTTTTGTTATGCTTGTCAAAATTCTGTTATCTGTAAGTTCTAAAGACACTCCCCCTTTGTATGCAAATTTCTATGCTATAAAGCTGTGTTCCTAGAGAGCTGTAGCATTGTCTTTTATTCCCATGGGTTTCAGGAGAGACAATCCTGGCCTGTCAAAATTACAAGCTTGTTTTAATTTGATTTAAATTGTAGTCAGTGATCTTTTCTTTGTGTCATGGTTTAACACTCTCATGTATCTTTTCTGTTTGGACAAAACGTGATCTGTACAATAAGCCAACTCATCTTTCGATGTCTTGCTCTCATATACCTGACCAACTTGTATTTCTCCTATGCCACTACTGTTGCCTCCATCTCATTCCAAGTCTTTAAGACCCTATGCATAGATGATTGTATTATCTTTCCAATAGGTTTCCCGCTCCCATTTCTCCCTCTCTCCATATCATATGCTCAACAGGTGAGGCCTCCTAAAATTCTGCCTGTCTTATAGGAAAGCAGAGCATACCTGTACAAATACAGACTCTAGAACCTGTCTGCAGTTTTCATCTGCAATGAAGAAAAATAAATATTATATTGGGAACCTGCCTACAAATGTTTCATAACTTCTCAATTTTTTCTTTCTTCTTGATGTTAGGAATTTGTAATCGTCCAGCATTCCACAAACTTGGAAGAAAAGCTCCCTGATATTTTTCTTTCCAAGTGCTCATCATCTAGTCTGCCTCTTAGTTCACTGAATATGCCTTGATTTTCATTGCCCATTACAATTTCATGTCCAAGTCTTTTTAATTAGACTAAAAGAAGCTATTTTGTGGCATTTCATGAACTTCATTTCAGAGAAGAACCCTTTTTCCAAGGCCTTCAGCATTACTTAGTGTTTGTAGGGCTGACACAAGTGTATCTCTGCTTTTATAAACAAACAAAAAAATATTTTCGCTTTTCAACATCCATGTACTCCTGTGATTTCAGGCTATCTTCCCCTGCCCTGAGTTTTTAGTCCAAGTTGGTCCAAACTTACCTTGTTCCTATCTATTACTAAGAATTAGCTGAGATACCTCAGACATCACCTTGAGGACATTTATGAAGACCTCTGACTTTAGCTTTCCTCTATGAGTGGTGCCCCTTGCCAGGAGGGGTCTGAATCTGGCTGATCATATATGGCTTCTCTTGAAAGCAATGGGACAATTGTGTCTGCAATGACCCTCGCATTTGCAGAAGGTGCACTGGAATACTTTGGTTCTCTTGTGCCTGTGCCTTGGCACTGCTTCCTCCAATGGCATATTGCCTGTCTTCACAGGTGTCTGACTCCCCCAAAGAATCTGGAATCTGGACTTGAATCTCAGTTTTGGAACCAGCCAGAAAATGGCCTGTGTTGATAGCTGCATTCATACAACATTGATGTCCCTTGATTCTCCAGTATAGGAGTGGGTTGTTAGTGAAGGTGGCACCTCTCAGCAATTCCACCCACTGCTCCTCCAGTTTTCTCTTCAAGTTCAGAAAGAGTATGCAGCCCACAGTGATCACAGAGCATAGCTACAGCTATCCAAAGTACAATTTCTCCCACACCGAGGCTGAAAAAAATAAAGGAATGTTGACTAACAGCTGTAGGTTGAGACCTGAACACTTACTGAACATTACACACAGACTTGATCAGTTTGTTCCCACACAGGAGGTGGAAGAGGTGTTTCATCAGCACTAATGCCAACAGGGGAGGGATGCCTCAGTGCACCAAGATGAAGCTGATGTACTCTTTCCATTTAGAAAAAGGCCACCTTATACCTGATTTGGAATCTGGTGAATTAAGGGAAGAATGGGGAATGTTGAGCTGCAAATAGAATTCTCCATGCAGTGTGCATCCACAAATAGGCAAACACATATTCCACCAGCCCTAGTTTGGACTCATCATTTCTGTATAAAATGGACTTAAACATCAGTTGGAGTCATTCTGAAAATCATTCCCATTGAATGGGAAGGATTCTAGAAGCAGAAGAATACTTGACTTTGGATAGGGAACTAACTCTATACTATGAGCAGATGCATTTCTTTTGATGATGCTCATAAAAAGGCACTAGAGTGTGAAGGTTTCCACCCCTCCTTTGACAAGTATGATTGGATTTGGAAGAGCCATGTAGCCTCTCTTGAAACCTTTTGTTTGAGCCACAGAAAAAATTTGCATGGCATGGTCCAAACCTTTTTTGCTCCCTAATCTTGTGGTAACTCTCTTTGGGCATCAGCTTACCTGGTAGCAAGTACTCCCAGACCAGGCTAATCATACATCTCCCAGCAAGTGGAAGATCTTCAACATCCACTTGCCCTGCTGCAGAAGAGCAGTGCCTCTGGGGACCTTGTCCAGGGGTGGTACACCTTGGAGCTCCAGTGATTGGGGGAGGTAATTGAGCTCCTCCACAAGTATTGTTTCCATGTGTCTCTTCACAGCCACCCTCCAAATCTCATTTATTGGTAAGACCTGTTCCCCCATCCTAGAGGGGAAGAGCATTGCCTTGTTTAGATCCATTGAGACACAAATGACTCTATTTACAAAACATTTACTATTGTAACATCTACCAGGGCTCTGACCTGGGTGGCAATGTCAATTGCCTGAGATTAGCTCCTTTTTCTAATAGCCCTGGTACCTGAAGTTCTCAGCTTCAATGAGCAGAGACTGAAAAATCTAAAGAACAAAGTATGCATTGAGACATTCACCCCAAGGGCCAGAATGGGAAAGGAATGAGAGTGGACATTTCTTTCCACTTCCAGTGGAGATAGGGGTAGGAGGCACAGTGGACTAGCATGGGAGGTATGTTCAGCATTCGGAGGGGTGGAGCAAAAGGTATCTCCTGAAAGATAATCAGGAGTGGAGATTTGGACTGCCGCTGTGGCATCAGGTTAGATAAGAGCTGCTGTGTGGCCAGCAGAGCAGGTTGCAGAGGAACAGGGGCCTGTGCCTTGGTGCTACTTGCTCTGATGGCATAGTGTCTGCCTTCACAGGTGTCTGACTGCCACAGAGAATCTGGAATCTCCACTTGAATGTCAGTTTGGGGACCAGCCGGGGAAGGGCCTGTGTTGATAGCTGCATTCATGCCACATTGCTGTCCTTTGTTTCTCCAGTACAGGAGTGGGCTGTAAGTGAAGGCAGTGGCTCTCAGCACTTCCACCCACTGCTGGGCATGCTCCTCCAGTTTCTTCTTCCAGCACAGGAAATCAATGCAGCCCACAGTTATCACATAGTGCAGACCCAGCAATTCAAAGTACAGTGACACCCACACTGAGGCTGAAAATGAAGAGGCAAACTGACAGCTGTAACATGGGACCTCAACTCTTTCTTCTTCCTCTGCTTTACTTGGCTCCTTCATCCATTCCTTCCTTCCCACCCTCCTCAAAGACACATCTCATAGACTTCTCATTGAGTCCAAGCTGGTTTGGCAGGAAGCCTAAGAGGCCACTTTCGCCTTTGACAGATAAGGAATGCTTGTGTACAGGGGACATGACCTACCCAGACTCAGTCAGGACTTCTGGCTCCCAGTCTCAGACCCATCCTCTCATTCAGACTGAGATGCCTCACTATGCACAATATCCTTGAGCAAGCCAAAGCTCCCCACATCATGGCAAGACTCCTTGCTTTTCTGTTTGGGCAGAGCATGGTCTATGTCTTCAAGGAGTCCCTCCTCTTCTGGTGGAGCCTACCTCTTAACTGCTTAGCACTTCCTGCAGGAAGGCAGCCACCACCCTATCCCTACAAAGGGTATTCCCCTACACTCAAAGGATAGTAGGGATACTTATGTTTAGGAAGGCCCAAGTCCTCCTTTGGGGAATCCATCAGTTGAAGCTTCTTACCAGCCCTATGGATCTGGAAAGAATGAACTCCTCCACTGCTCATTCCACCAGTGGGAGTCCTCAGAAGGCCCCAGCCTCATTATGCCCTCAAGATGAGGTCAGTGGGTTCTGAGCACTGAGAATTCCAGGATTGGCGGTTGTGGAGTGGGTGACAGTTGATGGAAGGAAGGAACTCTATTTTGTGACATGTCATGAGCATCGTTGTCTTTTCCATCAAAGAATAGTCCCAACACTGAATTGTCTGTTCTCCACTTCATATGGGGAACTGACAGAACAGCTCCAGGAAAGGGCCCTCACGCCCTCAGGAGTTTCTATTTATGCAGTGAGTTGTTACAAATCCATTTATGGATTATTTCAGTGGGTTGTTACAAAGCCATTTATGGATAATTTCTCCTTCTTTTTTTTT